AACAAGCGGGATTGGCCTAGGGGAATTTTTAGTGGGGTTTTAAGAATAATTTTAAATTGACATAGGCCACATCAAATATTTCATTTTAATTAGGTTTTAAAGTGGGTGTTTTTATCTTTGTATCTGTTTTACTAGGCTGTCAGCCGCCCTGAGTCCGTAAGGAGAAGGGCGGGATAAAAATTTAAACAAATAAAATAAAATAAAAATAAAATGACCAGCGTCCAAAGGATACTAGGAGCTGTTTTTTTCATCCCAAGCCATCCATCAGGAACCCTGGATCTGAAAAGCAAATTTTTTAAAATGTGGCTAAAACCGTTTGAGGTGGTCAAGTCTCATAAGATTGCAGGAGTCTCACATCGGAGGTCTTGGGCAATCTTGTCATCTCATGCAGTTTTTTGTTTTTTTTGGGTACAGCGGTTTTGGAAACTTTTTTTTTTTTTGTCTGAAATCTCCTTGTCAGAAATCATTTAAGGCAGAGGTGTCCTGCAATGCGAGAAAAAAGTCGCGATACGTCATGGGACGCGGCGAGTTTTGATACCTGCGATTTAAGGACTCCCGCAAGAAAACGGGAATTTCACGAGATGATTTTGTCAACGTAGTAGATAGGTAGGTAGGTAGGTAGGTAGGAAGGAAGGAAGGAAGGAAGGAAGGAAGGAAGGAAGGAAGGAAGGAAGGAAGGAAGGAATCAGTGGATGAGTGAGTTGGTAAGTTCAAGGGGGAGGGAGGGAGGAAGTTGGAACGAACGAACCAAGGATGGGTAGAGGGAAAGAAGGAAATTGAAGAAAGAAGGAGGGAAGGAAAGAAAAAATGAGGATGGAAGGCAGGAGACTAGAGAGGTGGAGGATGGAAGGAAGGAAGGAAGGAAGGAAGGAAGGAAGGAAAGGGAAATATGGGCGGAAGGAAGAAGAAGGAAGGAAGAAAAGAAAAATACGGATAGAAGGAAGAAGAAGGAAGGAAGGAAGGAAAATAAGGACGGAAGGAAGAAAAATAAGTGTGGATGGAAGGAAGGAAGAGTTTATTTTGTTTTTCAGGAGAGTCCCATCACCTGAGCTTGGCTGGGCAGATTTAGGGGCAGGAAGGTGCTTTGAAGCCTGTGAAGGCATTCACATGGCCCCTCTGCAACTCTTTAAAGTAGCCGGGTCTATTCCTGGGATTGTACAGCCGCCTTCTGTAGCTGCACTGCAATCCCAGGAAAATACCCATTGGATTCTGAAGCATCGTCCTGAGCTGGCGGAGAGCAAAGAGCTGCCAACTGTAAAGAAAGTCCCCCAAAAAACAAGCCCTGGGCCTGCAGGGATGTGTTGGGCCACCCACAGGGCTCCCTTTGTTCCCAAGTGGAAAGAAGGGATTAAACCCATCTTAACAAGATGTTCCACAGCAGTTCCTCCCCATACTTAGTTGTGTATACACTGAAGGCAGGAGGTTCTATTACGGCATGTCAATCTGCTTGCTTGAAAACTAGTCACCGTCTACAAAGACAGGGGTTAAGTTCCGGAGGATGGAAAGCCATCAACGGGGCTGGTTGGTTTTGCTCATACAGAAGAACAAGCTGTGTGTAATGTTGATGCAAAGCTGGGCACAGGGTGGAATTCCTTTACAACATTAACATTTTTAATGTTGTAAGCTTCCTTCCTTCCTCCCTTCCATTGCCCTCCTTTTTCCTTCCTTCCTTCCTTCCTTGCTTCCTCCCTCCCTCCCTTCCATCTCCCTCCTTTTTCCTTCCTTCCTTCCTTCCTTCCTTCCTTCCTTCCTTCCTTCCTTCCTTCCTTCCTTCCT